AATCAATAAAATATGTTAAAAAAAAAAAAAAAAAAAAACTCGGGGAACTGCCCACTAGATGGGTAGCCTTCGGCAATTGACCCTCCTGGCCTCCTCTTCCTTAATAGAGAGGTTGGTGGTCTCTTAACAGCATTAAAATGATCACCCCTCCACATGAATAGCTCATGCGTTAGCCCGTCCAGAAGAGGCTGTGGAGGGGAGAAGAATGGGTATTTAAGGTGTAAGAGGTGTGAGACTTGGGAAGACAGGACGTGGGAGCCACTGTGTGGCAACAACCTGCCAGGCCAAAGCGGCCTCTCGGCGGCTCCGCCACGAGCACAGGAGGTGTTATTTTAGAAGCACATGGAGGACTCACTCTGGGGAGCCTGCGGAAGGCCTCTTCTCATGAGTAGGAGCTGCAGCATATTCCAGAGTAAAAACATAACAAAATAGTGAACATACACATAACTATTATTTTTACACTTATTAAATACTTCCCGGAGAAAGATGTTCTTCAGATTATGAAGTGAGCCGAAACCAGATTGGCTCAGTGGATGGAGCGTCTACCTGCAGACTGAAGGGTCCCAGGTTCGATTCCAGTCAAGGGCATGTACTTGGTTGCAGGCACACCCCCAGTAGGGGGTGTGTAAGAGGCAGCTGATCAATGTCTCTCTCTCATCGATGTTTCTAACTCTCTATCCCTCTCCCTTCCTCTCTATTAAAAAAAAAAATCAATAAAATACTTTAAAAAAAAATATTATGAAGCGAGCCGAAACCGGTTTGGCTCAGTGGTAGAGCGTTGGTCTGCAGACTGAAAGGTCCCGGGTTCGATTCAGGTCAAGGACATGTACCTTGGTTGCGGGCACATCCCCTGTAGGGGGTGTGCAAGAGGCAACTGGTCGATGTTTCTCTCTCATCGATGTTTCTAGCTCTCTAGCTCTCTCCCTTCCTCTCTGTAAAAAATCAATAAAATATATTAAAAAAAAAAAAAAAGATTATGAAGTGAGAGGAAAAGCAAGAAACAGAATGAAGTTTGGCCCACAGCCTGGCCCATAGTAGGCACTCACCACTGTCAACAAATGGAACATCTCAAGACCTTCCATTCCTCCCACTACACAGCCACCTTCACATTCTCACTTGTGGGGTCTCCCAGTCACCCAATCTCCTTCCCTTTGTGCCTCCTCATTCCCATGGCTGAACACTTCCAGCAGAAGACATTAATGGGATTGACAGCTCTCCTCAGCTATCTAACCTCAATCCTGGGCCCCGAGCGTGGGTATTCAGTTGAGGATATGTTAGAGATAAGCAAGTAAGTTTCCCCCCTTCTCACCTTCCATCAGCAGTATTCTCTCTTTAATTATTTACTGATTAAGGTATTCTGTATGTGTCCTTATCCTCCCATAGCTCCCCCTCCACTCCTCCCACCCCAACTCATACCCTTATCCCCTTGGTGTCTTCATCCATTGGTTATGCTTATATGTGTGCATACAAGTCCTTTGGCTGATCTCTCTCCCTCCCTTACCCCCACCTGCCCCTGCCTTCCATCTGAGGTTTGACAGTCTGATGGATGCTTCTCTGTCTTTGGATCTGTTTTTGTTCATTAGTTTATGTTGTTCATTATATTCCACAAATGAGTGAGATTATGTGATATTTATCTTTTTCTGATTGACTTATGTCACTTAGCATAATGCTCTCCAAGTCCATCCATGCTATAGCAAATGGTCGGAGTTCCTTCTTTTTTACAGCAGCATAGTATGCCATTGTATAGATGTACCACAGTTTTAGCAGTACTCTCTTTTGAGTGAAGATTTATTTGTTTTACTGGTGGAGGGGAGGAAGGGAGGAGAAGAGAGAAAGGAAACAAAGAAGGTAAAATTCAGGAGTTATTCAGGTCTAGGTTTTTCTCAGGCCTGATATTTGAAGCTATAATTTTTTAGTCCAGCTGGCATGGCTCAGGGGTTGAGTGTCGATCTATGAACCAGGAGGTCACGGTTCAATTCCCTGTCAGGGCATGGGTTCCAGGCTCTATCCCCGGTGTTTGTGTGTGTGTGTGTGTGTGTGTGTGAGTCTGTGCGCGCGCACATGCACGCGCGAGTGCAGGAGGCAGCCTGTCAATGATTCTCTCTCATCATTGATATTTCTATCCCTTCCTCTCTGAAATAAAAAATATATTTAAAAAATTAACGCTATAATTTTTTAGAAACATAAAAAACTAAGACTTTTCCTAAAGACAGAAACAACTGTGACTGGGGCTTGAAATCACAGGTCCCTTGGATTAGCTTCAAAGAACCTGAGTTGATAGCTGAGGAAATGAACTGTGAGCCATGATGTTCTAACACCTACCTGTAAAAGCTTCGAAGACGGCTTCCTGTTGAGTGACAGACCAACTCTAGGTCATTATACCAGTTTAGCCAGCAGTGGTCTCTCTTTTATTAAATCTCAATTAAAACACACACACACACACACACACACACACACACACACACAGAACACAACAAGCCCAGCCAGCATGGCTCATTGGTTGAGTGTTGACCTATGAACCAGGAGGTCACGGTTTGATTCTGTCGGAGCATATGTCTGAAACTACATCCCGGGTGTTTCTCTCTCTTTTTCCCTCGCCCTTCCTCTCTGAACTCAATAAAAAAATATATATTTAAAAATAAATAAATAAATAAATATTTTTTTTTAAAGTCCCTGTGGGTTCATTTTTTATTATCTCTCTTTCTGACATTTCTTTCCAAAACCAAGTAAATAGTTAATCCTTTGGCCAAAGTATTAGTAAACACTGAATCCAGATGCTCAGTAAAAGGAAGATTAAAATGCTGAGCTATTTTTGAAGAAAAGGATTCAGTATTCACCCCTAAGCTGTTCCCATGCTTAGAAGATGCACACCAACTGTGCTGGCAAAGGACGAAACCTGGGCGAGCTCCTAAAGGACAAGCAATGGCCTCATCATGGCAATGAAAACAGACTGCGAGCTACACAGGGCAAGGTGGAGCAGAAGGGGTGCGAATGGCGCGTTCAGCCCACCAGCTCAGCAGACCGACACCCAGCCGTGGTGCTTGCGTGGGCCCTCCTTCAACACCTGAAATATATCCGCTGTGACCAGTATCTGCTCTGATGGTCCAAGGACTTCATGCCCCCCTCCCTGAAAAACCATATACCCAGAGCTTTAAAGCATTTTTAAATTGTGCATGTTTGGGAAGAATAGAGGTGCAATGCCCAGCACTAAGGGTTTTGACGAGAATAAGATGCAATGAGGAAATAAGCAGGTTTCATCGACGCTGCTCAAGTCACTCTCTTCAGTTGTCTGATGGCTTCCCACTGCTCTTGAAGTCAATTCCAAAATTCTTACCATGGCTTAGAGAGCCCATCGCCATCCGGACTGTCCCAACACTCTATTCCTATCACCCGTGCCTGCTGCCCTTCATCCCAGTCCTCAAAGTCCTTCCCTAACTTGGGGCCTTGGACAGTGCTCTGCTTGGATCCCTCTTCCTCCCCTCCTGCCTTCAACTGGTTAACTCCTGCTCAGCCTCCACGTCTCAGCACCAAGGTCATTGCCTTAGGAGGGCCTTGTGAGCCCCCACCAGTAGAGGAGGCCCCCTGTTCCAAACTCTTACAGCATCCACTACGGGGTAACCACTGCCACACAGGGACTTTCAGAAAACTGCAGAAGGCACTGCATGGGGGGTGGATGTTGAAAGACTTGTTTCTTTTGGATAAACATGGCTGGCCTGTAGAGTTTGGGTTCCAGCCCGTGCTGGCGCCCTCCGCTGGACACCTTTGTAGGAGCACAGAGCAGAAGCTCTGCTGTCCCTTCACAGCACTTACCCTTCAGAACCCTCACCTAAACCCCGCAAAATGACTATGGCTGTGATCCCCTGCCCATCTCCTCCAATAGCAGGAGGGTAGGGCTCCTGCTTGCCATGCTGAAGACTCCGTGAGTCTTCATGCAACAGTGAAGTAGTGCTGAGTCCCACTCAGCAACCATGAAGTTACACTTCCACATGCTTGTCCTTCTAGGGACATCATAAAAGTTCACTCTTCAGCCGACACTGTTGTACTGTCATCTTCCTTCTACTCCTGTGAGTATGTAATTTGTGGCCAAAAAATCAGTAATCTGGCTTTCTTGGGGAAAAGCAAAACAAAACCTAATCCATAGGGATGGACTTCATGATCTTGACTAGGAAACAAATCACGGGATTGGAAGCCAAAAGGAACCTATAAATCATCTTGCTTAACTTCCTCACTTTACAGGAAATCGAGGATTAGAGTTTTCTCTTTTGCAAAATGAAAGTGGATGCAGTGACCTCCCATCCTCGGTATTCTGAGATCCTAAGGTTTGCTCAGGCCCGGCCCACAGAAAGGGACAGCTCCAGACTGGCCTGCTAACTTGAAATTTAAAACGTTCTCCCCAGCACGATGCCCTAAGTAACTAAACTATGGGCAGAGAGTTGAGCCTGTTGAATTCCAGGCAGAATCCTGGTGTGCCAAATGCCAAAGATCAAGGAATGTGAGGTTTGGGATAATGTTACCACCAGGATCCCATGTGGCAAAAAGATGGAATAGGCTCAGTTTTCCATGGTTGGTTAAGATAGCCCTGAGTTAATGGGATGATATTTATGCCTTAATTTATGTGCCCTGGAAGCAAAACCATATACCCAAACACACAACACTCCTCATAATTCATGTAGGGATTTAATTATATTCCTTTAAGAAGGAAAATTAATTATGGAAATGCCTTGTTCTGTGATAATATCTGAGAAGTGAGACTACAAAGAGAAACTTAGTCTCCATTCAAGAATTTTAAGGATAATTATTTTTAAATTTGAAATATTTTTATGGCTTTTTCCTCTTAAAATCCATTATTAAAATATACAACCAATATGTAAATAAACAATATGAAAGTCTTCATAATTCTACTCTCAGGAAGCGAAGCATATACACGTGACTTAAATTTTTAAATTTTTTTTTTTTTTTACAGAAAATGGAGTCATACCATAAATATTGTTCTACACTGGTTTAATATTATGGACAACTTTTCATATTAATATAAATAAAGCTACCTGGATGTTTAATGATTGCAACCATACAAGCAATCCTTTAATCCTATAACTGAGGGGATGTTGTTTGGTTTTTTACTTTGTTTCTTTTTAAAGTCTAATATGTAACTTCACAATGATCATGCTGGTAAATATATCTCTAGTCACAAATCTGACCATTTTCCAAAAGTAAATCTGTAGAAAGGAACTACTGAATCCAAGTATGAACCCACAGTATATAATATAAATGGCATAATGTATGTGTGGTTCTAACCTAACACCATTTACTCCATCATATACTCTGACATTCCATATGAACCGTACAATAAATTCTGCTTGAAGCTTTAAGAGAATAGAAAACTTGAAGGAAAAACCAGAATCAAGTGGTGGTTTCAGAGATTCAGATTACTGGCTAATAAACAGGCATTAAAAACAGGAATGGACGAATGTGTGCAGAAAGGTCACTGTACTTGCTTTTAAGAGGCTGATTCGGGGGATTTCTAGGGGAAAGTAAGGTAATGCCAGTAAGCCAAAGATTACACGGGTTGAATGAGAGAGATTTTACCCTGAGCTTGAAAGGTACTCATGGCTTCCACACACGAAAACCCCTTGCTTCTCTGGTCAATGAAGCTGGGGAAACTCAGCCTTGGCTAGAAGGGAGGGAAGCAGAAGTTAAACTATCAAGGAACGATAAAAGTCACCTTTGCATCCGAGGGGCACTCATTGCAACTCTTTACTTAAAGTCATGTATTCTCTATATAATTTATGTCCCAACAGTCTCAAACTATAAATGTTTCCACATTTTAGAAACCTTTTGTATTTCCTTTTCTGAAAACCATGTTCATAGCATTTGCTTATTTTTCTATTGGTCTGTTTGTTTTTTCTCATTTATTTATAGACACTGTTTATTAGGGAAATCGGCCTTTTGATGTATGGATTGCAAACATTTTTCATTATCTGTTGTATGAGTGTGTTACTGATTAGTACCACACACGAATCCATACCAGGTTCTTTCTAAGATAATTAGAGAGGATCCTAAACTCAACAAATGCCTTTAAGCTTTTCAAAATATTGTGGTGAAATATGACATAAAGTGTACCATTTTGACCATTTTTTGCAATACATTAATTCTGTTCATTAAATGCCACCAAAAAAAATCATCTGTTCTTTTTAAGGGTAATAAGAGCATATTTAAAAATGAGAAAACATATTTACAAGGTTATAAGTAGTGCTGGTTGTGGTTACCTGAGAATCCAAAATAAGAACAGAACATCTATTAATTATATTGTTTATGAACATATAATGGCTATTTATTAAATGTATACCAAGTACGACACTAAGTACTGCACATACATTATCTTACTGAATAGTTTAATAACCCAATGAGAGAACTGTAAACAGCCTCATTACACAGCCACAGAAACAGAAACTGTAAAAGGTGGAGTAATCTGCAGCAAGTTTCACAGGCAGTACGTTAGGTAACGGGACTCAAACCCAAGCAGACTCTCCAGGAGCCTGAAGTCAAACCACTGCCCCAGTGTCCACCCCCCAGAGGATGGGACCCGAACGCTGTGTAAAATTCATTTGGCTGGAACATGAATGACCTTTGAAATATTTTAGCGATTTTACTTACTTACTACTGTACTTAATTACACATAACAACATAAAATTTACCACTTTTAGTATATTTAGCCCTAACTGGTTTGGCTCAGTGGATAGTCAGCCTGCAGACTGAAGGATCCCAGGTTTGATTCAGGTCAAGGGCATGTACCTTGGTTGCCAGCACATCCCCAGGAGAGTTGAATGCAGGAGGCAGCTGGGGATGTGCTGGCAACACATCAGAGTTAGATAGATGTTTCTAACTCTCTATTCCTCTCCCTTCTCTCTATAAAAAAAATCAATAAAATACATTTTAAAAATGTATTTTTTTAACTATACAGCTCAATGGCACTAAGTATACTCACACAACCCCCATCTCATTTTTTTTTTCACTCTACTATGGCAGGTTTTGTCATGCAAAATGTTTTTATTTTTATATCTAATTATCAATATTACATTTTATGAATGTTAAATTTTGTGTCATGGTTAGACCTTCCTCACACTGAGATTATGATTTTTTAATCCTCTGAGGTTTCTTCTGGTATGTCCATAACTTCATTTTTTTCAATTTAAACTTTTTTTTGTTATTGTTGTTAATCCTCGCTCGAGGATATTTTTCCATTGATTTTTAGGGAGAGAGAAGGAAGAGACAGAGAGAAACATTGCTGTGAAAGAAACACATCAGTTGGTTGCCTCCTGCACCAGCCCTAACCATGGCCCTGGCCAGAGAGGAGCTTGCAATCGAAGTACATGCCCTTGACCAGAATCATAGCTGGGACCCTTTGGTCCACAAGGTGATTCTCTATCTACTAAGCAAAACCAGGTAGGGCTTAATTTTAATATTTTTATACTTCATTTAAGTCCTTCAGGAATTTATCCTGGTATAAAGTGTGAGATAAAAAATCTCACTTTATTTTTTAATGCCAATAGGGATTACAGTATATTTGCAGCTAGACAAATTCATTTTAAATTCATACAGGGAAGCAAGGCCAGCAAAAGAAGCCAGGAAATTTCTGAAAAGGGTCTAGATGGGGTGTGTGGGATTAGTGCTATCAGAAATTAAAACATCTTTACAGTCTTCAAAATAATTTGGCCCTGAGTGCTGAAACCGAGAGAATAACCGAGTAAAATAGGATGACTACGTAGATCTCATCAGAATTTAGTGTAAAGGTATAAATTTAATTGAAAAGGTATTAATTTACTGCCATCTTTAGCATGTTGAGTATTCCTATCCAAAAATATGACTCACCTTTTCATTCGTTCAAGTCTTCTCTTACTGCCGTCCTGTCTGCTGCACAGTGGTAGTGAAAAATTACTTGTGGAAGTTTTGTTTGGGGTCTAAATTTTTTCCAGAGTCATTCCTAACATATTGGACTTCCCAGTTTCTCTCTTTACAAAATATGGAAAGCTGTGATCAAATCTAACTTAATTAGACACATCTATACCATATTTCCATGGTCTGGGTTCAAACTCAATACTGTGTTAAAGATTAAATGGTAGGTGTTAAATGTTAGTAACATTTTTTTAAAAAAGGTTCCAATGTCTGAGGTTAAGCCTTGATTTAACTTGGGGAAGTTAGGATGGCAGCTGGAAGTTACCACCTAATTGGTATTACCAGCCACCAAACTCAAAGATAGGGGCTTCATGTTGGTCTAGAACAGCAATGTCCAACCATACAAATGCTAAGTCACACCTGTAAATTAAAATTGTCTAGTAACCACCCTACAAAATAGTAAAAAGAAACACATGAACTTAAATTTAATATTTTTATTTAACCTCATAATTCAAAAATTTGATCATTTCAACATATAATCAATACAAAAATTATTGTCTGGCTGGTGTGGTGCAATGGTTGAGCCTCCACCTATGAACTAGGAGGTCAAGGTTCGATTTTTGGTCTGGGCACATTTTGGTCTGGTTTCAGTCTTGATCCCCAGGGTGGGGCATGTAGGCAGCAGCTAATCAAGGATTCCTTCTCATTATTGATGTTTCTCTCTCTCTCCCCCTTCCTCTCCGAAATCAATATTTAAAAAAATTATTACTGAGGTATTTAACATATTTTTCATACTAATTCTGGAAACCTAGTGTATATTTCACACTTACAGCACATCTTCGTTTGGACTAACTACATTCAGGTGCTCAATAGCCACATATGGCTTCTGGCTACCATACTGGACAACTCGACTCTAGAAAATGTTCAAGAGCAAGGAAAATTGCTTAATTTAATAGAAACCCAGGAACTCCAATGTTGGAAATATAGTATCTCAAGGGTCTGGAATAGACTTTAAAAATCACAAATCTTGGCCTGACCAGTTTGGCTCAGAATGTTGGCCTGCGGACTGAGGGGTCCGGGGTTCAATTCTGGTCAGGTTCAATTCTTGGTTTCGGGCACGTACCCAGTGGGGGGCACATAGGAGGCAGCTGATGGATGTTTCTCCCTCATCAATGTTTCTAACTCTCTATCCTTCTCCTTTCCTCTCTGTAAAAAATCAATAAAATATATCTTTTAAAAATCACAAATCTTAACATTCATTTGATAGTCGAATCTTTTCTACAAAGTCCCTTATCGAGGGGTCACTCAGACTAGTGCTTGACTCACACTTCCAGGAATGATGAATTCACTGAGGCCAGCCAGTCTATTTGGGGACAATCTTAGCTCAAAAATTCCTTGCCAAGAGCACAGGCAGATTGGCATATGGTGGTCTGAGCAGCTTAGTTGGGTTGGGCTTACCTTAAGGGGTTGGTTAATTGGGCTACGAAGTATTGGGGGAATTAAAAACTACAAAATAGATGGGGTGGTTTGAATAGGAACTGTTAGACTAAAAGCTGGGCTGAAATTCTGATTCAAATTGTCAACTACACTGTAACTATAGTGACAAATAAAACTATCCCTTTCCCTGTCCCCCCCCCCCCCAAAAAAAAAAAAAAAAAAACCCCACAAAACACCCATATGCTTATAAGCCAACTTCACTAATCTGGAGTTAACTGATTAGGAGAATAGTTTAAATTTGTAACAAACTTTAAAACTTTTCACCATAAAGTAAAACATAGTTGGCTTATAATTAACGAAGGATCTCCTATGTAGTAGACCTGTTTTACAACTAACATTATCCTAAAGAATTAACTTTTCAGATCCAAAAGTCAAAGCACTTTCGAAACCATCCCTTCTCTGGGTTTTAGCCTTCTCCTTCCATAAAAATAATCTGGACATGAGAGACAGGCAACTAACTTTATTTTTAAGTCAGTAAAAATGACATCGACTGCCGGTCTTATGTGATTCCCTGACTTAGTGGCTCCTGAAATAATACTTTTCCCCCCTGCGTTTATTTGCATTTCTTCTATTTTTCTTTTCTTCCTTTTTCCCCTTGGTAGGGAGGTGGTCTTTTCCGGGCCGCTTTCGCCCTCCCGCCTTCCCTAATTCCACTTTTCCAGGGCAGGGGGAGGTGCACCCTCATCGGAGCTCCTGCGGGCGCCTCCTCTGTGCCTCTGGCCCACGGCCGGCGGACCGGCGCGGCCTGGCCATCCATTAACGCGGATACTACATCCCCGGCCCCGCCGGAGCGTCCCGCGCGTCCCGCGCACCCCACCCGTCTGCGCGCTGTCACCCGCGCTTCGGGGGAAATTTTGGGAACCGAAGCTCCACCTATCCGCTTCCTTCCCGCCTCCACAAAACCAGCTGCACACCTCACCTGGAGCCGCAGGAGCGGTTTTGGCTCATGATCTGGATTCCTGTATTATTTTTTTCACAAGAAAACAAGCATCCCAGAAAAGAAAAGGAAAAAAAAAAATTCAAACTGCACTCAGCGGCCAATGGGGAAGGAGCGGGCGGTGGGCGGAGGCAGCGCGAGGCGGGCGAAGCGGGCGGGGCGCGCGGGGGGGGGGGGCGTACAAACACGGCGGGCGCCCGGTTTGGGGTTTTTTGTTTGTTTGTTTGTTTGTTTGTTTTGTGTGTGTGTGTTTTCCTCCCAAACCTGTGTGTGTGTGTGTGTGTGTGTGTATATGTATGTATTTTTTTTCCCCTCCAAAACCAGCTCGAGCGCGAGCCTCCGCCTGTAGCTGCAGCCTCTCGGATCCACCTTAAATCTCCAGTGGACTCGACGCAGGGGTCAGTGGGCGCAGCCAATGCCAATCAAGTTTACAACCACCAGCACGAGAGGGGGGGGGGAGAGAGAGAGAGAGAGAGAGAGAGGAAAAAAACAATTTGCAAGTTCTCCAGTCCACACACAGTCACACGGACGCGCGCACACGGACGCACACACAGGCACACACAGGCACACAAAAGGAGGGGGGGCGCAGGCGCGCGCGGGAGAGGCGGTGTTTGCAGAGCGCCGGCCGGAGGCGCGGTGCCCGTGGCCCGGGCGCCCGGGGAATGCGCGCGGGAAGCGCGGCCCGGCCCGAGCGCCATGATGGTGGCCGCGGTGCGGAGCCCATTTTCTCGCGGGGGAGCCGCGGGGATGCGATCCCTCGGGCAGGGCCGGGCTCGGCCGCGCGCCTCCTCCCTGCTTTTCCTTCGCGCTCCTTCCGAGGCGCCTCGACGTTTCGCGAGTTCTTTTTGGATCTTTCACTTTCCGATTCCCAGCTACTCTGTGTCCCACCCCCCACCCCCATCCCCACGCGAGACGGAGCTGGTACGCGGGTGGGGGACACACACACAGACGAAGTTTACATGTAAATAGATACACTTTCGGTTCTGCGGGCTCTGAGGCTGACCCCACCCACCCACCCCACCCCCACGAGAGCCCTGCTGTTGACCAGGTCCCCAAGTTCTGCCTCCGCCCCGAGTGGAGTGATAGTGGGCACTCCCCCCCGCCCCCGCCTCGCTGGCAGTATTTTCACCTTCAATTTGCCCGGGAGGGAAGGGGGGCTGAGCGTAGGGTGTGGCTCAGGTGGAAAGAGATGGCAAATTTTAAAAAGTTAGTACTAGGAGAAACAGATCTGGAGAGCCTAGACGAGCTTTGAAAACATCCTTTTCCATCTTAAAAAAAAAAAAAAAAAAAAGCGTAAGAAGAGCAAGTATCGACGCTCATGATGGTGAAGATGAAATGGCGAAGGCAGCGACCCAAGACGCCAGCCAGGAAAGGTCGCCGCGCGCGGCCAGGGCGGTGGGCGCACCGTAGCCAGCAAGGCCATCGGCCCCCGCTCCCCTTTTTTTTTTTTTTAAATTTCCTCGGCCTCTTCCGTCCCCCAATCGATCCCCAATCGATCGTAACCTCTGCTAGTGCTTCCCTACCCCAGGTCTCTGGCTAGGCAGCCGGGGATGCGACAGGGGACTTGGCCAAGCGGCTGGGCGGGAGGAAGCGACCCCCGCGAGCGGCGGTGGCGCGTGGCCCCCCGGTGCGCCCCTGCGGCCCTCGGGCTGCCGGCGAGCCAGGGAGCCTTTCGAAAAGCGCGGGGCTGCGGGTCATTGGAGCCCGGGGTGGGGTGGGGGGTGGAGGGGAGCGTGCTCCTGCCCTGGAGGGTACACGAACTCGGAAAAGTTCTCCCTTTCGCTCAGGTCCCCCCTCCATGCTCACCATGGAGGGAGCTTGCTGAGTGTGATGGGGAGGGTCTGTGTGCCGAGAGGAATGGGGTGCTTGCGCTCCTTTCGTCGCCCAGAGGAGGGATGATGAGGGAGGCAAGTTTCTGAGAAACCGCTCAGCCCCGCTGCGCAGGCGGGGACGCGGCCTGCGGGCGCCGGGGCGCGGGGGGCTCAGCGCTCAGGAACCCCGGCGGTGCGGGAGCCGCACGTTGGAGACCCGGAGCTTAGACGTGGTCGATCTGTCCCGAAGCGCCAGCCAGCCCGACCCCGCACCTCCCTCGGCGGGCGAACGCGGAACTGCGGGGCGGATCGGGGAGACGACGGCGCAGTGGCCAGGGTGGCCGGGCAGGAGGTGGCCGGTGCCGGTGCCCCGGTCCCCTCGGAGGGACGCGGGCGGCGGACGACGCGGTGCGGGCCTGGGGAAGGGGACGCTCCGAACCGCGGGGGATGCGTCTGCAGACCTGACGCCGACGTGGGACGGATCCGCACGACGACGGGGAACTGCGTTCCCGTGAACGCGCCCTGCGCGGCGAGCATCCACCGCCTCCTGGCCCAGCACTCCTAAAACGCAACCTCTAAAAATTCACATTCAAGGTGCCTCTCTAGGAGGAGAAAAGGGGGTACATGCAACAACGAAGAGGCTTTTTTTTTCCTGGTAGAAACACTTTTTTATGTTTAAAGTACCCTTTTGGGTTCAGAGAAACTTTATTTCATTATTTCCTGATTCTCCCTCCACTCCTTCCTCCCCATTTTGAATTGTTTTACTTGCTTTCTTAGTGTCTTCCTGAAAAACACCCATACGTGTTTTGAATAGGATCACAAAAAAAACACCTTTCCGTCTTTAATTAAAATAATACCACCTTGGAAAAATGTCGCCCAGCCAGCAAAGGACCTAATTTTCCCTTCCCGCAGCTGTAGGGAGTCAACCCTTTTTTTAAAACACACCACACACACACACAGACACAACTTGGGGTCAAAATAAGCTGCAACTATCTTGTTTACAGCCTGCTTTTGGGGAGCAACAATGTAAATGTAACTACTTGAGGGAAACAATTTAACTCAAATTCAGATTTTTGCAATTTAACCATTTGCAGTTCCCTAGAAAAAAAATAATCTACTTTTACACTTTGAAGAGAATGTAAAATTACAGGAATTTTAGTAAACCTGACTTTAAAAAGTCTTCATTTTTTTTCTTATTTAAGTAAAAATTATCTCTGCTGTGAATATGAGAACCGAAAACCCTCTGATTTTTTTTATTTAACCAATTTTAGATTGGATAGATTATCAGGAAATTTATAAGTTTAGGAACTTGTTATGACGAGTTAAATTTGAAGAATGGTGGTTTTATCTAAATTAGGGTGGAATGCACACTAATTTCTGAAGGGCCTATAAATTTGAATATTTTGCACAAGGGGCGTTGATTAGACGGTCTAAACAACTGCTCTAATTCCCCACAATACTTTACATGTGTAAATAAAGAATTGAGAAGCCACCAATGTTACTTTCATTTTCAATCCTGCAAATGTGTGATCAGAGTACACTTATGTAAGAATTTTTAGTTATGACACATTCATATCCTAGAAGACATAAATATTTGAACTAAAGGAGAATTTAACAATCTTATTTATGTAAAAATATGGCTTTTCCACATTTTACTTGTAAAGTTTTGTCCACCTTTATAGAACTAAGTGGAAAATAGCTACTACCACATTCGGACCCACATAAACATATGAGTTGTGGGACTGAATTGTCTAGATATTTTCCACTTCCTACTGTATTTGTGTAAATATGACTAAAATGCCAGGCTGAATACCTCAAGCTTAGTAAAACACAATATACACAGTTCAACTCAATGAGTAGCTATGGAAGCTTTCTTTATTGATTGTTTGATATGTAACAATAATTGGGTCTTTTCACACATTACAAAAAAATTATACTTGGCTCAGTATGCAACCTCTTAAGCACAGCCATATTATTTAACAGAAGAAGGGGGGAAATCTATTCTACCCAATACAGCATTTACAAATGCACAAAACATGCCCCTTTGGCTTGTATATTGTCTAGATTAAAAAAAAAAATCTTTTTTTTTTTTTTTAACATAAATAAGTTAGTATAGTTTTTCAGTGTCTTTACAGAGTTATGTACACAGGTACACTTCAAATGGTTTTGTTTCATATACATACACAGGAAATGAAAAATACTGCTTAAAGATGTAGTATCCATTTCACTTCTATCAGACTGGGCTTTTTGTATACACACTTACCTCTTAAAACACTAATTTCCTTTGGGCAAATTAGCAAATAGAATAAGAAACTTTACATTTAAAATTATTTCATTATTTTTCATGTGGAATTACTTAGATATTTTTTAAAATATCCAAGGATTTAGAATTATTTAGCCCAAAGTGAAAAAGAAAATTCAGAAATTTTCTCAACAATTCTGATAAAAATTAGATGGTTGATTCTGAGCATTCAGACTCCCCTCCTCCATTTATTTATTTATTTATTTATTTATTTATTTATTTTTGCCTATAATTACCTGGAGTGATTACCTAAACTGCTAAATAATTAACTGGTAAATTCCAATTTTAAGGGGGGCACTGAGGACAGTTTTTTGTTGTTTTAAAAAAAAAAAAAAAAAGCCATTTACTGCTACATAACGGAATCATTAGAGCTCCCAAATGAAAAAATAGCTTCATGTAAAAAATAAATAGCAATTTTTGCAGCCAGTGTTCAAATTTGAATGATTTTTAAAACGAAGTATCAGTTTTCACTGAAAGGGACATTACATCTTTAAAGAAAAACAATTCAAACCCCTTCCTTAAACTGCTTCTTTTCATGTTAAAGTCAAATAATTTTCTCCTTGCTCTAAATCGAAAGCAAGCTCTTCATGCCTCCCAAAGCCAATTCCTCAGCCTCACCCTTCCCACCCAACCCTCCCTTCCCCCAAAGTTTATATGCTACATAAAAGCTAAAAACTATATACACAGGTAGTACAATGAAGCAAATAAGGAAAAACCTAATTGCATGATGCTACATCCAATGCTTTTAGAGGCAGATCACTTTTAAGAGGGCCTAAAATTTTAGTGTTATTGTGTTGTTTCTTTTCAGTGCTTATACAGGACGTCCATTCCATGGAGTCAGCGATATGTATTTAAAATGTTTAAATTCATATCTTCCTTGCTTCGCCAAGCAGTGAAGTGTCTGATAAACAAGGAAACATCCTCTCAATTCTGCAAGAGAAACAGAGGAAAGTATTATGAGAAAAGTATTAGAATAACATTACCCATAAAGTACAGGAGTTATTTGTCACTCTCTTAGTTGGGAAATACCAACTAAGAAAGTATGTAGTACTAAAAGTGGATGGCCATAGACGTCTCTAGCCAACGTTTCCTCCCTTGCTCTCCTCTGTGTTGTAGACTTTTGTCTACAGCACTAGTTCTCAACAGTGGGCAATTTTGTCCCCCAGGAGACATTTGGCAATGTTTGGAGGCATTTTGGTTGTCACAAGGGGGGGAGGAGGGTGTTTGCTACTGGCACCTAGTGGGAGAGACCAGGGATGCTGCCAACCATTCTACATCGCACAGGACAACCTCCCACAACAAAGACTTACTTGGCCCAAAGTGTCAACAGTGCAGAGGTTGAGAAACCCTGGTCTAGAGAATTGGGGTCAAAGATGGTGAGAAAGAACAGAGAGAGGAAAAATTAAGAAACTGTAACACTTAAAGAGTTGCAAAATTTTCTAAATTTGAGAAACAATGGAAACTAGAACTTCTAGTCTACCAAGAAAATCCTATTTACATCTTTTTCAAAATGTCTTAGTGTCTTAGTCCTATGCAGGACATACCTATGAATGCTCCTGAATAGTGCTTTACTATTATTTCTAGTATTCTCTAAAAGGGCAGTATTTAGTAGCAGATGCCTCTCTATGTCAGAATGGAACCAGGTCAAAATCCAGTAGGTCTGGTTCACTGTGGCTCATCTAATGAGCTAGGCCACAAGTCACAAACCAGCAATAGCTGCAGGTGATGAGGAAGTGCCAGAACAGGTTTTCATCCAATTTCCCCTCTTCATTTACAGCTGTAACACAGAGGGTCTGCAGTGTCATTTTATATAAGCTCTGAAAAAATCAGATGTATTTGAAGAAGTCATATATGACATTATGGTTTAAAAACACCACACACCATCCCGGTGGGGGGGGTGCAGGAGGCAGCTGATCGATGATTCTCTCTCATCAATGTTTCTAGCTCTCTGTCCCTCTCTCTTCCTCTCTGTAAAAAATCAATACAAATATATTTTTTAAATAAATAAATAAATAAATAAAAACGCCACACACTTGAATCCCACCTCAATCCCTATGGCTTATTTTTTTTTTTTAATATATTTTATTGATTTTTTTTTTTTTTTTTTTTTTTTTTTACAGAGAGGAAAGGAGAGGGATAGAGAGTTAGAAACATCGATGAGAGAGAAACATCCATCAGCTGCCTCCTGCACACTCCGTACTGGGTATGTGCCCACAAGCAAGGTACATGCCTTTGACCAGAATCGAACCCGGGACCCTTGAGTCCAAAGGCCAATGCTCTAGCCACTGAGACAAACCAGTTAGGGCGGTTAACTTATTTTTAAATTTTTATACATGAGGATTTTAAAAGTTAGTACCAACATCTATTAAGATCTCTTTATATGCTAAGCTATGAGCATGTATGAGGGGGGGTGGGGGAAGGGGGAGAAGAGGTCACAGTCTTTCTGTAAGAAGTATACAAACTATTCATATCAATACTGTGATCATCATGAATAGCTAACCTATGTAAAGTTGGGGGTGGCGAGTTACTACAATTATTTATGTTGATTGCTTTCAGTAGATGGAAAAATCTCCACTTCCCTTGTTTGGGGGCAGACCCACCCTCGACAACCGATATCTACTATCCATTCCCCGTACAAATATCCAGATCTCCCTGTTGCAGCATGATTAGCATACACATGCTGACGTGTTCCTGGACTGCTTACTCTGGCAGAGTTAATTTAACTTCTGCTTTGTAACTTCAGGGTTACCAGAACTTCTGTAGGAACCTTCGTTGTTGTTGCTGGTGTTTTGAGCTTTCTATTTTGGTTTTTAAAAATATGCAGCTTCCTTCTCTGACCTCAAACTTATCAGAAAGCAGGGAAAGTGACAGTGTATAGAAATGATAGATACAAGAACACAACACACCTCTCTTTTTGCATTTTGATCAACCAAATATGAGACATGTGTACCTGGCATTTCCCTCTAATTTTAAATGTAATCTTTTTTCTTTTTCTTTTTTTTTTTTTTTTTTTGGGGGGGGGGGGGGGGCGGGCATCTTTCCATGTATGGCCCAGAATCTGTTATTCACAGAACTGGAACCTCTAGGAAATGAATTCTCCTGAAGTGGGTCTGAGACATATACACCCCTTGATCTTGGTCAGATGAGGAAAGAACCTATTATTCCCAGCATGTTTTGGTGGGACTCACAGGGAACTTAGGTTGCTACCCACAGAGCCCCTGATTTACCAGGATTTGTCTGGGACGCTTGCTCTAGTCATTTCTAGTTCCAAGGGAAAATGACCCGAGGACATGGAAACTGTGAAGAAATAACAGTATCCCCACAGTGATGCCCCAGCTTTCGCCATGCCTGCTTTTTTTCTTTTTTTGAAACATATAAACAAAAGAAAAACCCACAAAGCTCTAATCTGCCGGCCACCACTGAGATCAGGTTATCTTGGGGTTTGAAAGCTCCAAGAATTCCTGCAGGCCGACTTGGGTGTCAGTTATTTGTGCTCCAAAGTCATCAACCCACCCGAGAGCCATTTACGTTTGACGTTTTCTGAGGCCCGGCTTCTTGGGCGTCTGCTCCACGGAGCCCGAGTTCGGGGAACCGTCTGAAACGTTTTCCTCTGTTCTGTTGGTTCTTTTGTTTTGAGTAGAGGCATCTAGGGACAAGAAGGGATTAAGAAAAGAAAAGAAAAAGAACACACAATCTTCATTAGAAAAAAAACACACACAAAAAAAACAATGGCTGGCAGAAGTTGGCTCAATAGTCGGGGAAGGAATGAAAAACCCACCACCTCCACCCACCATTCCTGGGCCCGTCATACCAAAGGAGCCTTTTCAGGGCACACACTGAGATTGTTTTCTTTTTTTCTTTTTCTTTTTCTTTTTCTTTCTTTCTTTCTTTCTTTCTTTTTTTTTTTTTTACAGGACAGATTGTGCTTGCTACGCCCCAAACGGCCTCTTCCCGAGTGCAGAGGGAGGCCGCTGATAAACACCCCAACCTTGTCACCTACCCCCCCACCCCACCCCGGCCGGCTGGACGGGAGGCAGGATCTGCGATGCTTTCGGTTAGCAAACTTATCAGATAAAACAATCTCGGGCTCCTGACTCACAAATCATAAACACACACAGAGAAGCAGCCCGACGGCACGCGCCACCTACGATTACGGAAAGTTCCCTCCTTGGGGAGCTGCGCCAGAGCGGGCTGAGAAGAAAGGGGGTGGGTTCAGCTCCGCAAGCGGGCAAGGCGGTGCCCCAGACAGACGGACGGACAGACGGACAGACAGACGGACAGACGTTTTATGGCCTGGGGAGGGCGGGTCCTTACCGTCTGCGGCAGGTCGCTTCCTCATCCCGGCGCACGGCTCCGCTAAGCCCGGCTGGCCGTCGGGCGCCTCCGCCTTGGGCTCCGCCAAGTGCATGTCCTCGGCGTTGTTGGCCTGCGGCCCGACGGGCGGCCCCGCCGCTGCCGCCGCTGCCGCCGCCGCCGCCGCCGCCGCCGCCGCCGCCGCCGCCGCTGCCGCGGGGCGGCTCCCGCTGCCGTCCTGGCCCTCCTGCGCGGGCACCTTCCCGGCGCCCTTGGGGGGCCGCGGGGCTCGGTAGTAGAACTCGGGCAAGCTGCCCTTGTCCACCTCCTGCCACTCGTACCTGCCCTCCAGGGGCTTGTGGTTCTTGAAGTCGAAATTCCACTTGCGCTGGCTGGCCTCCTCTATGTCCCGGCAGTGCTTCTCCAGGTCCCGGGTCAGCTCTTCGTGGTCCACGGGGCCGAAGAGGTTCCTGCAGGCGGAGGGCTTGGGGTACTCGGCCTGCCGCGCGTCCATCCGCTCCAGGCTCGGGCTCCCGTTAGACACTCGCACGGTGGACATCTTCCTCCTCCCGGGTCCGGACGGCCGACCGCCTCTCTCTTGAGCGCGCTCTCCTTTCTCCCTTTCTCTCTCTCCTCTCTCTCTCTCTCCTCTCTCTCTATCTCGGAAAACAAAACAAAAAAAAAACGAACAAAAACAAAAACGCCCCGACCCAGCCCGGACTGCTCTTATAAAGCCCTGCGCGCCGGCCCCGGGAGCCAAGAGCAACAAACCCCAGCGAGTAACTGGCGGACGTCAGGAGCGCGCTGGGCGGAGGGAGGGAGGGGTGAGGGGAAGCCCCGGCCCGGCAGCCCCGAGTCTCCGCCGCCGATCAAGTGTCCGCGGGCGAGCGGGAGGGCGGGGAGGGGAGGGGAGAGGCGAGGCGAGAGGCGGGGGCGCGGAGCCCGTCCGAGGGCAGGCCGGCTGCTGGCGAGCCCGCGCGCGGCTCCCGCGCACCGAGCGGCTCTCCAAGCCTGGCCGGCGTCGGAGTCGCGGCGGGATGAGCAAGAGGGGGAAAAGGGAGAAGAACACACCCCGAAAAAAGACGAGAGCCCCTTTTTTTCTTAGTGGCCCAATATGGCGGTGGAAGGGAGGCTGACGAAGAAGAAAATGATTGACACCGCCCGCAAGTCTATTTAAACAGAGGAGGAGATCCATTGGCTGCGGCGCCGGGAGCCGCCCCGCCGAGGCTGGCGAGCGCGGCCTTAAGGTGGCCCGGGAGCGATCCGCCGCCTCCCCGCCTCCCTCCCCGAGCGCCGCCCGCAGATTGGCTGGTCCCGTGATTGCTGGAGGTGTACGGCTGCCAGCAAACCTGCTCCGGCTGGCCTGGGAGAAATAAAAAAAGAAAAGAGAGAGAGAGAGGAGAGAGAGAGAGAGAGACAAACAAACTAGCCAAACGGCTGGGGAGGTGGGGAGGGGCCGGGGCGGCGGGGCCTGGCGCTGCGCGGACGGGCGCGCAGCCGTCCCGCCCGGAGCCCGGGTCTCCCGCTCCTCTGCCGGGAAGCGCAGGGCTGGACCAGACGATCGCAAAGGCTGCTGGCTGCTTGCTCTTTGTGAGCCTCGGTGGCGATCTTGTCTCTTCCCCCGGGCAGCTATGGGGGGAGGCAGACATGGGGGGGGGGCTCTGCCCGCAGCTGGGCTCTTTGTTACCTGCTGCCCCAACTCCAAGCCCTGCGGGAGAGGCGGGAGGGTCTGGGAGCCTTCGCTGTGGATGAGCAGTGGTCAGCTCACCCTGAACCTTGGAGTCTCAACTATTCTAGAGGAGACAGGGGGCTTAGGGAAGAAGCCAAGGCGAACGTCTTTCTACAGATGAGCCTGGGGTAGGCGTGACATTTATAATAGTATATATTCTGGACCCAAGCTCTCCATAAAAAAAATAAGATTTCAGGATCTAAAACGCACACTGGTCTCTCCGGAGTCCCTAATAAACTTTGTAGCTGTCTCAAAACATCTTTAGTGTTCAAAAGCGAGGTTACACTCCTGGCCCAGGTCCTTGCCTCCCAAACACGGATAAAGCAATGGACGTGGGCTGCGTGTAGGAACTCGTCTCTCTGTGTGTTTTCAGTTCTTTCCCCGGTGGTGGTAGTTTCCTCTGCCTGAGTCCCGCCGCCAACAACAGCTCCTTCCTGCTTCCCTCCTTTCTCTCCAGAGGCACGTCTCCCCCCCCCCCCCCCCCCCCCCCCCCCCCCCCCCCCGAACAATAGGCAGGTGCCAAGTGAATGCTTTTGGACTTTTCATAATCTGGAAGTCCAGATTATGCAGTGATTTCTAAAACCACTACAACCATGTCTTCAGAACTGATACTGTTCGGACATTTCTCAGCTCCCCTTGCCAACCTGAAATTTCCCTGTCAGTGTGGTCCTGAGCAGGGTGATAGGAGGTAAAACAGCAAGGGCCCGGCTGTGGCATCTCAGATCTCATTGGGTCTTCAACTGCCAACCCCGCCCCCCCCCCCAAACAAATAATCTTGGTTTGATTAATAAACTAATCTCCTTCCATTCTAATAGTCCACAGCAGCAATGTTTTCTTAGGCACCTAGGCTACAGGTGACTTTGATTTTCAACTTTTCTTAACCACGTTGTTGTTTGTTCACTCTGTGCCTGCTTCACCTCATACACACCATAGTGTTAGAGCTCAGAGAGACCTTCGCAGCCCTATGGTTCACACCACCCCTCCCCCCCCCTTTTTATTTTAACCACTGAGGAAATGGACACTCGGAGGATTCCATGTCCAGTGGGTCGAAGCGACAGGAGTAGACAGAGGTCTCCTCTCTCAAGCTGGTTCATTTTGTTTCTTCCCTACCTGATGGCCCCAACTGGTTCAGATTTTGTTTGTTTTTTGTTTTGTCTGTGCTTGCCTGTGCTGTAATCTGCAGGTCCTTCTCTCTTGCAGATTATTGTAAAATTTGAATTATTGTAAAATAATTCAAAATGGCTTGTTCACATGCCAGGGGATGCCTGCAGATGTTTCCTTGATGTGGCCTGTGGTCACTGCTACTTAAATATCGCCGTCACTGGCCTTTGGTATCACTATCCATGATTTCAACTAAAATGCAGATTTCCTAAGGAGAGGGGTGATACCCTACGCAGGGAGCAGTGAGGGAGGCAGTGCCCAATACTTGCTTCAAGTCAGGACTTCTTTCCTGACAGAAAATATTTCACCTGGCATCAAAGTAGGTGGCCTCATCTTCATTTGTCTACATCGAATGACTCCAGAGTTATTAGACTAGAGAAGAGGAAAAGAGGGACAGCCCAGTTCGGGTAGGCCTCAGTGCCATAATTTATACCCATCCCTGAAATGAGATCTTTGTGGCCGAAATTTTTAAAAATAATTGCTAGACTATACAGGAATGCTACATGCTATATTAGCATACATTCACACGCATTCGTACACAAACTACCACAACTATGTAAATGGAGATCCTCTAGGATTCCCCCTTGCCGCAGAGTTTCATTTTATTTTTGGACTCAGTATCCTACATAAAAGTAGAAAAGTAATACTTCTATCCTCTATACATAATGAGCCTTTCTTCAGTTCATATGTAGAGCCATGTTGTGGTTTTGTTCATCTTGAGGAGTAAAGGAGCGAGCAGCGAGCGACAGTCACACAACCTTAAGACGTCTGGCTGGCAGCAGGAAAACTGCCTACATCCACCTTGCTAAGAGCTAACTAACGTGTTTTGTTTACAGCCAAGGCACCGGATTTGGAAACAGCAAAGAAAGAGAAGGCTTGGCGTCTAGCAGCAACAAAGCAGGAGGAGGGAGAGGGGGAGGGGGAGGAGGGAGGGGGAGAGAAAAAATACTAGGAGGAGGAGGAGGAGGAGGAGGAGGAAGAGGAGGAGAAGGAGGAGGAGGAGGAGGAGGAGGAGGAGGAGGAGGAGGAGGAGGAGGAGGAGGAGAAAAAATACTAGGAGGAGGAGAAGGAGGAGGAGAAAAAATACTATGAGGAGGAGGAGAAGGAGGAGGAGAAAAAAATACTATGAGGAGGAGGAGGAGGAGGAGGAGGAGGAGGAGGAGGAGGAGGACGAGGAGGATGAGGACGAGGACGAGGAGGAGGAGAAAATACTATGGGTCCAGGAGAGAAGAGGGAAGGCGAAGATCAGGAGGCTGCAAGAGTGAAGCGGACAAGGGTTTCAGATAAACAGAGTCAGGGTGGAGCCTTGGGAGAAGGCGGAAAGTTTCCCTCTGCGCTATTCTACACGGGGCTCCGCTTCCCCAAGACCCAAAATCTAGTTGTGGGTGGTGTTTTTTTGTTTTGCTTTGCTGTCATTTTTACTCCTGGTAGTTTCCTAGTTACACCTGAGAAGTGTCACGTAAGCCACTCAAGATTTCTGGGTGCTTCACAAGCTGAGGAGACTTCAGAGAAACACCTGCGTGATAAATCGTGTCCAAAGCGGGACGTGAGGCAGGCTGTGGGGTTAACCGGCCGGCCGGCAGCCCCTAATGTGTCCGCAAGGTCTGCGTTGCCTTGCTTGGTTGCCCTCCCACCACAAAGACACGATTTGTCCTTTCTCAAGGATGTTTATCACGAGGCAGCTTTCACTCAGTTTCACAGTTCTCCTAAGCCAACGTATTTTTAGCATTTGGAAAGTTCAGTCATCTGTTCCTGACACTTTTCATTCAGTTTAACAAATATTTATTGAACACTTTCTATTAGTATAATTATTCTTACTTTCTTTCAACTAATGCCTATGGAGTGTCTTCCATATGCCAGGCGTTATCCTAGGTTCTGAGGATGTAGAAGTATTAAACTAGGGTGCAGCTTACATTCTAGCAAGGGGAGAGAGAAGCACAATAAATGAGGCAAGTCTGTGTTATGTAAGGAGGTGATGTCTGCTATGGAGAAACAATAATCAGGGGAGAGGGAAAGAGAGTGTTGCAAGAGTCCCAATGTGAATACAGTGATTGGGGAAGGCCTCATTGAGAAAGTGGCTTTGGAGAAAAGCCCTGAGAAATTGAGAAAGCAAGCCATGCAGATATCTGGGGAAAGAGTGTCTCAATAAAAGGAACAGCAAATGCAAAGGCTCTGAGGTGGGATCTTGTCTGATGTGTTCGAGGAACAGCAAGGAGCAAGGGGAGAGTGGTAACAGGAACATTCCAGACTATAAGACCATGTAGTCCTATGTAGGGCTTCTGTCATTGACTGAGTGATATAGGAAGCCACTGGAGCATTAGGAGATCTTAAGCAGTAGAATAACATGAGCTAAACTATTCCCCGAGGCTTTATTCTCCGCAGCATGAGGACTGAAAGGATGACTAAGTCACAATCCCTGTTTTTAGGGTGTATATACTCTAGATGGGGAGGTCATTGTGTACACAAAAGCTACAGAGGTAGAAAGCAATACCTAGAAGAATATGGTACAAAGATGGAGTACAAAAGAGAGAAGAAGAGGAAGGCTTCTGGAGGGGGTGATAGATGAGTCAGATACTAAAGAATGAGAAAAGTGTTAAGAAGATTATAAGGGTGTATTGGTAAGGGTGGTCATTGTGGAATGGGATCAGATGGAGGCAGGCCATAGATGGCACGTTAAAAAAAAAAATCTGTTTTATTCATAAGCAATAGGAAGTCATGTTACCTTTGGTGAAAAGAATAACATGATCCCTGTCCAAACTTGTCTGCCGAACAAAGAGCAAGCTTGAGTCCTGAGAGACCATCTCTGGCATATAGCTGAACGTAAAGTTGAGTGGACAGTCCAACCCAAAGTTTGAGTTAACATTATGGTGTTAACCCAAAGGAAGATGAAGTTGGGCAGAGTCCTGGTGTGAGGCAAAAAAGGTGGAAGCATGGGCCATGAGACCGGGATGAGATGGTTTGGAACGGAGAATGGGAGGCAGTCTGGAGTGATCCCCTGAGCTACAAAGGCCTAGCTGCAGGGGCTCTGCATGTGGTGCTCACAGCCTTGATGGTGAGCAGAGATGTAACCGTTAAGGCGCTCAAACTGCCTTGGACAGTTGGATCTTTGTGTTAAGAAGTGGCACTTGCTGAAACCGGTTTGGCTCAGTGGATAGAGCGTCGGTCTGCAGACTGAAAGGTCCCCAGGTTTGATGCCGGTCAAGGGCATGTACCTTAGTTGCGGGTACATCCCCAGTAGTGGGTGTGCAAGAGGCAGCTGATCGATGTTTCTAACTCTCTATCCCCTCTTTCTCTCTGTAAAAAAATCAATAAAAATATATTTTAAAAAAAGAAAAGAAAAAAAGAAGTGGCACTTGACAGCAGAGT